GAAGATAATTTTTTAATTTTATTGTTCTTATTGTATTAAATTTTAAAATATAAATTATTAAATAAGATAATGGCCTTTTGTATCAAGGGCTTGCTTCCTTCCAATCCAATAATTTAAATCGTAACAATCTCACAAATTTATTACAAAGAACATAGGAAAAATTCTAGTCTAGAAAGAAAAAGTGGGAATTAAAATTTTTTTTTATCTTGATTACATAATGAGAAGTAATTATTTTTTATTTTTTATTTCATTTTATTCATATATAATGTAATTTAAATTTATAATTTATAATTTTTTATTTTTTTTTTTAAAATAACCGTTAAATTATTTTGGTAGTTTGAGGAATCAAGAGATTGAATTGAAATTCTGGATTTACAGTGCAATCCCAAGTCAACTCCGGTCAACCCCGTACAAAGTTAAGCGGTGCATGGCACGCACCGAAATCGCGCGTCAACCGCACAGATTAAAAAAGGAAAGAAACCGGTGACCGGTCCATAACCGTTATTCTACGGCGTTTATTTAATGTCCTATCCGCAAAACGACAACCCAAAGAAAATGAAAAAAAGCGATATTTTCTTCTCTCTCTCCTTCCCTCCACCATCGTTCTTCACATTTCTTCCCAACAAGTTCTTCTCCAACTTCTCTCTCTAAAAACTCTTCTCCCTTTTTATATACCTCACAAAACCCTAGATTTTTCTTCCATATTTAAGAGAGAAAAATTTAATAATGGATATGCATATGGATAGAGCTATATGCATAGTGTTTGTAGTGCTCCTTTCATGTTCTGGTTTTGGTTCTGCTGGTGACATAGTCCATCAGGACAACGTTGCTCCTAGTATACCTGGTTGTGACAACAACTTTGTGCTGGTAATAGAAAAAACCCTGAACTTGGTTTTGCTTATTCTGTCTTTTTTTGCTTATTTTCTACCTTCTATTTTTCCTTCCTGGGGGATGAGAAGAAGATGGTGGTGAGTGGAGGTGGGGATTTGGTTTTGTGTTTGTACTTTATGACGATGATGGGTTGAAATGTTAATTGAATTTGAGCTGAGTAGTTCAGTGTTTGTGTTGGGATTATTTGCTAAAGCTCATGACTTTTCTTTTAGTTCCTGTTTGATTGCTGAGAAAAAAAGAGGGTGAAGAGAGGTTAGAGAAAGGGCAAGTTTGATTTTTGGGTACTGCTATAGGCAAGGCTGGCTTATTAATGCAATGTTTATCCTTCTTTCTAGAATTGTATTCCCTTTTTATTAGGATCTAATTTGCTTAAGGCGAAAACCTGTGGAAAGAAGAGAAATAAAAGAAGGAAAGATAATTTTAAGCTGGTGATTGATGCTTTATGGGGATCGGTAAAATCAAGGCTAAATTCTGTGATATGTTGTTCCCATTTGATTGCTAAGAAATTGGGAAAGTGCAAGTGTATGAAGTTTGTTTAATTCTTTCCCTTATTTTAATTGTGCCTAAAAGTGAAAATTTTAAAAAAAAAATTATTGCCCAAAAGTAAAAAACCTTGATTCAGAGTCCCAACTGAGCAGTTGGTTGAGCTTGGCTGAGAGGAGCTTCTCTTTGTAAAACTATGTTCGTGAATAATGTAAGGCATTTCCTTAGCAGAGAAAGGGAATCTGGCCTTTTTGCCAAATGTGGATCTCTAATAGAGATGGACTGATGAGATGTTTCTGCTCATATAGTAAAGTACTTACGTATTCTCTTAGCCCTCAAAGAATTTTGTCTCTGAGCATTGTTTAGTTTTGGACTCATTTTCTTCCACCTAGCTTTTCTTGAGATTCTAACAACAAATTTTTGAGTATCTTCCTCTAACTTTCTGTGGTTTGATTTTTTGGCTCCGGTTATGCACTTAGTTGTAAAATTTCTTACTCCTCTGTTCCCTTCTTTAAATTTAGTTTCATTTCAGAGCTTGTTTATTTATTTGTTTTTTACTTCAATTAACTTGTAGTTGTATGCAGATTACTGTGTTACGCTGTGTTGTTATCTGATTCCTGGTGTCACTAACATCTTAGCTACTTGTTGTCTGCATGCCTCTGTCTTCTAAAAGATTAATGGTTACATGGTGGTGTTTGTGTACCTTTTTAAGTTTGATTGCATAATTTTTTATAGGTAAAAGTCCCAACCTGGGTCAATGGTGTGCCAAAAAGTGAGTTTGTTGGTGTTGGTGCTCGTTTTGGTCGTAGTTTGGAATCAAAGGAAAAACATGCCAACCATACCACACTTGCTCTGGCAGATCCTCCTGATTGTTGTACTGCCCCCAACCCCAAGAATAAGGTTTTCAAGTTATTACATTATGTCAGATTATTCCTGAAATTTGTCTTGATAGCTTATGTCTATATCTTGCATTCTTTATTTGATTGCTATTATTCATGTCTGTTTAATTTTTATAATTGAGTTCTTGTTTGTTGGTAGCTTGTAGGAGAGATCATTCTGGTGCACCGAGGCAAGTGCAGTTTCACAACCAAGGCAAATGTTGCTGACGATGCTGGGGCTTCTGCTATCCTCATAATAAATAATCAGACAGGTGCACATAGTTTTTTTCTTGATCTGTGTTTCAATTAGTTTGCCTTGGTGTCATAGAACAGTTAATGGGCAGCTGTCACAGTGTTGAGTGCTTAGATATGTATTCATAATATTAAGAATGAAGGTGAACTTGTCAAGCCATGTTTTTTTTTGCTTTCTAAAATGTTGAATCTTATTCTACAGAACTTTTCAAGATGGTTTGTGAGGATAATGCTGATGTAAATATAGCAATACCAGCTGTCATGCTCCCTCAAGATGCTGGTGAAATCTTGGAAGATTTTTTGGAAAAAAACTCAAGTGGTATGGCTTTATTTCTTCCAAAACTTTTTTCACATCAGTGTCACAGTTAGCTATACTCTTTGTTACTTACGATAGCTTTTCAATTATGTTTCCTTGCTTTGAAAATGTGTAATGCCTCTCTCAGAATGGAATTTTTATTGTCTGAACTCTTCTTGTCTCTAGTTTCTGTTGCACTCTACTCTCCAAAACGTCCACCAGTTGATATTGCAGAAGTGTTTTTATGGGTTATGGCTGTCGGTACCATCTTGTGTGGTTCTTTTTGGTCGGCATGGACTGCAAGAGAAGCAGCTATTGAGCAGGACAAACTATTAAAGGTTATTTTTGGTTACTCGGTGAATTGTTCTCATAGGATATAACTTCAGTTCTATAATGACAAATTACGTTCTCCTTAAAAATTGACATATGGATTGATGCTGTATTCATAGGATGCTTCGGAAGAATATCTGCAGACAGAAGGTGTGGGAGCAAGTGGTTTTGTTGATATCAACATGATGTCAGCAGTTCTCTTTGTTGTGATTGCTTCATGTTTCCTGGTCATGCTTTACAAACTCATGTCAGCTAGGTTTATTGAGGTCCTGGTGGTTCTGTTTTGTATTGGTGGAGTAGAGGTTCGTCCAACTTTGTATATTTTTATGCATAGTCATTGTGATGTGAATGAGGTGGTTGGGCCAGGGGGAATGCCCAATAAATGTTGATCATTTATATCTCTTCATGCTTACAGGGCCTGCAAACATGCTTAGTGGCTTTGTTGTCCTGGTATGTGTATTGATATCTCTCTATCCTTTGCTTTTTCGTTGTCATGGTATATTCATGATATTACTACTGGGCTCATAATTGTTCATTTTGTTTTGTGTTTAAGAGTCATTAATAAAGGAAAGCGTACTGGTAAAACACTTTGGAAGATTCCAAAATGGAAAGATGAACCAACTATATGAGAGAGTGTTTGTTTTTGTTTAGTATTTTTCTATTAGTTGCTTATGAAGAATATGAAACTGACAGCCAAATAAATACAGTTTCAGATGGTTTCAACACGCTGGAGAGTCATATGTTAAAGTTCCCTTTTTTGGAGCTATTTCGTACCTGACACTGGCTATTTGTCCTTTCTGCATAACATTTGCTGTTCTTTGGGCAAGCTTTCGCCACATCTCTTTTGCCTGGATAGGTCAAGATATCCTTGTAAGATGCTTTTCTACAATCTTTCTTTATATTTCCTTCTGGCTGTCCTCTTTCCAAATTTTCAACCTTTGTACTGTTTGGGATCTGGCAACATTTGCATCTTTGTTCAGCAATAAGTAGCAAAAGAGTATTATTCATTTCAATTTTTTTTTTTTCTTAATTGCCCAAACTTTCAAGTCTAGCAAAATGAAGGCATTTGTCAAATTATTTTCAATTTTCTGTTTTCATAAAGATGGATTGGGTTTGAGGTTTATAGGTTCAAGTTGTCCAGCCAAAGGAATAAAATTTATGACTTTTGAAGGCAGCTTCGGTTTTGCCCTGCCCAAAACTGTTGTTCATCGTGCTTTATTTTTTTCATTTTTATTTCTCTTCTTACTTTGTAACTTCAAATTGATTAGACAGTCTAAGCTGATGATACTACCTCCCTCCCAACACTTCATATCAGGGCATTGCACTTATAATCACGGTTCTTCAGATTGTTCGTGTGCCGAACCTCAAGGTGACCTCTCAATCATTTGACTTTTACTTTCATCCAGATAGAGGAAAACCTCAATGTCAATTTTTTATGGAATCAGGTGGGAACAGTTCTCCTTGGTTGTTCTTTCTTATATGATATCTTCTGGGTGTTTGTTTCTAAATGGTGGTTCAAAGAAAGTGTGATGATAGTGGTGAGTACTTCAACTTTATCTCTGCTCCATAAAGGCATATATCCTTAGAGTATCCAGAATGTTGTTTCTTAAGACGTGCTGCAGTGATTTATAAAGCAATTAAGTATCCTTTTTCTGTCATGTAGGTAGCTCGAGGTGATAAGACTGGTGAAGATGGTATACCAATGCTTCTGAAAATCCCTAGGATGTTTGATCCTTGGGGTGGCTACAGCGTTATAGGATTTGGTGACATTATCTTACCTGGGCTGCTTGTGGCATTTTCGCTAAGGTTTGAGATAGGGACTTGTGCACAAATTTTGCATGGCTACAGGCTACTAGCCTTTTATTCCTGAAATTAGATATTGGTATCTGTTTTGGTTTTCTTGCTGATTCTTTACTGTTTTGATTATTTCAACATCTTACTCTAAATCCTGTTTGGACTTGGAATTGCCATCTGAGAAAAATAAGCTAACTGCAAATATAATCTGTAAATTTGACACGTAATATTGCAAGACTTGCATGAAAGTAACTGAATCAATTTCTTCGAAGCAAGAAGGATTCTAATGTTTCTGACTGTTTTATTTCATTATTTGGGTTACTTTGGCAGATATGACTGGCTGACGAAGAAGAATCTTCGATCAGGATACTTTGTGTGGGCAATGACTGCTTATGGTCTAGGTAAATGCATGGTTTAATTCTGCAAAACCATCTAGGTGATTTGAATGTTGAATGCCTAAGCATCTATTCTACAATGCGAGTCAAGTTTGAACCCTTCTATATCAATTAACTTCCCCATCTTTGGGCTAGCTAGTGTAGTAATGGTTTGTACTTTATAATTAGATGCTCATATATTATATCGTCTTAAAGTTGAGTCTCATAAGAATTCTTAACATCTGATATCATTTTATAATACCTCAACTAATTTCACCCTTACCTCAAAACTGGACTCCAGGTCTTCTTATCACTTATGTGGCCCTGAATATGATGGATGGACATGGCCAGCCAGCGCTGCTTTACATTGTACCTTTCACCCTTGGTAAGTGGCTGTTGATTCAAAAAATTAAGTACGTGAATAGCCACGTTCACATAATCTGAACGTGACGCATTTTCTTGCATTTCATGTTATCTCACTTATTAACCCTCCCTGGGGGCTGGATGGCTGGATGCAGGCACCTTTCTGACATTGGGAAAGAAGAGAGGCGATCTCCAAGTTCTATGGACACGAGGAGAACCTGAGAGGAATTGTCCTCACGTCCAACTCCAACCTGTACAATGAAGATGATAATAGTAAATAGTAAACCACTAAATATAACACTTGATTGTAACTGTGAGGCAGTTTTACATGATAGCATAGGGGGTTGTGTACCTAAGTGTCTTGTAGGTTGTTGGAGACATAATATTATTTGCTAATGCCCTGTTTCTAAATATTAATTATATAAGCAGTAAAAGAAAATGTGTCCGGGGAACTGGTTCACAGAGGGAGAACAACTGGACGTGGCAGTAAGAGCGGGAGACCCTTTTGGCGTTAGGCGTTATCTAATGTGATGTAATGGACCTGTATGCAAAGATGGGGAACCAAGCCCTTGCGAAGGGTCTGGTTCATTGTTTCAATGATAAACCCCCACTACTTGTCAGGCTTTGTTCTGACTTTTAAGGGCTGGTAGAGAAAGGGACCCTCACTAGCCCAGGTCCAATACATGCCAAGTATAACCCCCTCATCTTAGGTTTAAGTTTTCATTAATGTGTTAACAATATAATCTCCTCCCAAAATTGAATTTGAGATTTAACCTGATTTCCAAACTAGAGTCTATTGAGTCAGCTTGGAGATGACAATTTTCTTATATTAGCTTTTTTTTTTCCTAGACACAAAGGGAAATTGGGGGAAGGGGGTAGTTGTCTAAGTTAGAACCTAGGACTTGGATGTACAGGCATTGTCTCTTGCGAGGGGATGGTTTCTTGCGAGGGGATGGTCAGTAGGTCACTTGGTGTCAAACTATATTAGTTTTTTATAGGTTTGTTCCATTGCCCTTCATTATTCTCTTACTTTGTTGATAGATTACTCATCGTCTTGTGGGAATAGACCCCTAAACTAGCTTTATAGTTAGGGTTGATTTAATGTTGGAACCTTTTTCTTATTTTTAATTTTTTAATTTTTTAGGTATGGTTGATTTAATGTTGAAACTTTTTTTTATTTTTACTTTTAACTTTTTAGGTTGGTTTCGACACTCTTAGCCACCTCATTTTATCCCTTAACCTATTTTATTGGTATGTTATGTTGTTGGGAAGGTGGTCTAACATTGATTTAAAATTAACAATTCGGTCATCGAACACGATAAGAGCCCAAAAGACAAAAGACAAATATAAGCAATGGAAATTTATCTACTTGACCAATAACAAGTAAGCTAATAGGATGATAACATGTGGTATTGGTGTTATAAATGAGATTATAAATAATATTTTTTATCTCCATAAAAAATAATAATTCTACTACACTTTTATTTTTTTTTGTAATATCAACTCTATAAAAACTTTTCTTTGTAGAATAATTGATTATTATTAATTTAAATATTAGTGTGTTTTTCAAAAACACTTCCTTGAGATTTTTAGATACGAAAACAGTTTAAATATTCACCAAAAACTTAAAGCTCAGGAAGCAACCAAAATATATATGATTCGAATTTAAAATTTCTTATTATTATTGAAAAAAAAAAGCTATATTAAGTTATTTAGCTCTGTTGGCAAATTTCAGCTATGTATACGCAATGAATTTCATCCTTTCATTCTTTTTAAAAATGTGTTTTTGGGGAAAAATATACTCGAAAGGAAAATACTAGAACGTCGTCGGTTTAGTCTATCCTACTGTATGCTCGTGCTGAAATATCAATGGCGTTGTTACCGTTGATGTCATGCGTTGAAGCTGTGTGAGGATAGATGATGGAACACTCTCCCCTCTCTCTCTGCTCTGGAAATGGAAGCAATGTATAAGAAGCATTAAAACAGTAAGACAAAGCTTTTACTTTCCATTACTGTTCTTCTTCTCTTCAAGATCCAATTTTCACTATGAATTAGCATTTCCCCCTGCTTTCTTATTCAAATCAAATGACTAGAACTCTAGATTTTGAGAATTAGGACCTATGGCAATGTTTTTAGCATAAAAATGTACTCTTTTATGGAATGCACCTTCCATCAACGTGATTTTTGTGGCTTCAGAATATTCGTGTCTGCACTATCCACCTTGCATTTTGTAAGATTTCCCAACCTTACAAAGCTCATTTCACTTGTGCAGAATTAAAATAGTTTTCCTTTTGTAGTCCATTTGCTTCACCTAATTGGAATTTGTTCAGCGCGAGACATTCTTCACGCACTTACACGTGGGATTCATCATTCTGAAAATTTAAGATTGCTTCAATGTGTTGCAGATTAAGTAGGGGACCTCTTGATTATTGCTTCAATCTTTGTTGTTATCATTTTCAATTATCCAACTTATGTCTGGAAAATTCCAACCAGTTAGGGAACCCCTATCTAGTGGTCACATTTTCTCTTCCTAACATATGATATCATGTTTTATAGTGGAGTATTGGATGACAAAATGACAAATAAATATATTCGTTATTTCTTTAATGGCATTTTCATTTCTTCTTGTTATTATGTATATAGAACTCATCTTTCATTTTGATCTGGGGATCCTACTCAACATTTTAGTACGTTAAGTTAGAGTTGATAAGTTCATGTTTTTTTTTTTTTCTGTTTCCTTGTTTGATTTTCTTTTTTTCTTTTATGCAACCTTATCAAATGGTGATACATACTAGTATACAAAGTTTGGTGTAAGAATTCTGGTTAGTGAGGAAAGTGGGTGCCAGACTCATTAATTTTCCCAAGCAAACAAATAATTATCTAATGGCACTAAATAAAAATCAGGTAAGTTATAGAACCTAATATCAATCAGGTTCCTTATTCTTCTTGTTCCATTTGTCTTCTGCTTGATCTTGATAGAACAGACAATGAAAGCCCTTGTGGTCACTAATCTACGGGCCACCAATCACATCAGTTTGTCTCTGGGGGAGTATTATAAGGTTTTTTATCCTTCATTATTCATACACATTAATTAGTAGTATGGAAACCTTACAACCCCTTGCGATTGAGAGTTTTTCAGAAAGTTGGTTGTCCAACCACAGACCCTCTTTCAGTGGTCTTGATGAGCAACCTAGAGCATCTACTGATGGTTCTCATGAAGGCACCTACATGGAACTTGACTACAAGAAGGTCAAGTCAAATAGATTTCTGACAGAGTCCCAGAACTTTAACTTCAATATTCCTATCATTCCATCTTCCACTGCTCTTGCTTCTGCTGATGAGCTTTTTTCCAATGGTCTCATTAGACCTGTTTTTGTTGACCCTTCAAAGAAACAGTCATGCAACACCTCAGATTTCATCTCAGCCATTCATAATTCTTCCTTTTCTTTGAGAACGCTCATCCCAACCAGGGCAGTTCATCATGGCTTCCTTAGAAGGTGGAGAAAATCAACAGGGCAACTCTTGAGAAACCTTTTTGGATGCCTTAGGCCATTCTGCCATGAGGCTGGTTGCTCAAGGAAAAGTATCAGGGTTGATGATATTGACAGGAGAGTTCAGCAAGTTAGGAGCTGGAGCCCTTCACCTCAGGCATCTCCACAGCCAAGCACAGTTTGTTCAGCAGATGATAGGTGTGACCTTGAGAGCTTGATTTATGAGGCTGTTCTCCATTGCAAAAGATCCATAAGTATGTTTGTTCTTCTCGTTCTCTAAGTTTGCAGTTAGTTTTGAGTCTGTGTGATTCATTTATTAATTATTTTTTCTCTTCATTTTTTTGGAAAAATTGATTCTTGCACAGAAGATGGAAGGAGAATTGTAGGAGAAAGTGGAGAGCTTCTACAAATGCATCATTGCTGATCAAGGGTATTAACTTGTTCTTTGTCCTTTTTCCCTGTCTCGTTTCCTCATGTATGGTTGTAATTTATTTATCATTTAAAAAAGGAATGAGTTTCACAAGATATTCAGCTGTTAGAAAACATATATCAAAGGATGGCAAAATGTTAGTATTGTGTCTTCATCATTGTGTATGAATAAGAATTAATTTCACAAATTACTGTCCTTTTCATCCCTTGATATAAGAATCAGTCAAACCCCCTCTTCCTTTGAGTTGTAAGAACCTGAGGAATCAATGGTGAAGATGTGAAGTACTTTATTTTGATTGTCCAATGGTGAACAACTTGAAATTTAATATTTTCTAGCTAATTCACTCTTTGATGGGAAAAAAGATGCCCAATTTAGGTTTTGCAACCAAGACAACAAGGTTGGAAAGAGAAATCTTTCCCATCAATATGAATTATGATCATGAATATCCAGCTTTTGTGGGTAGTTTGGAACATCAAGGGCCCTCACTGAGGTATGCATCTTCTCTTTTCCTTCTTTTCAGTCATTGTTTGAGGACTAGCCAATTGTGCCCTTGTGCCTTTTGTGTTTTGAGACCCTTCATTTTGTGTCTTCTAGAGGACAAAGCATCTCTGTAATAGTTACATCTGTATTTCTTCCTTACACACAATATAATTTTAAGGTTTAGATGAACGTGTGATTTGATCATGTAATGCTTTCGACTTTCTGAGACATGAGATTGGCATGGCAGATTATAATTAACTAGTAAGATGAGATTCCATGAAATATGAGAAATATTCGAAAATTGCAAATACTGTCAATTTTATTGTTCTTTTTTCCATTCTTTTGTCTGAAAATTTGTCCATGTGATGCCGGCTCCTCAATTAAGATGATTAAAACAGATGACTCTCAAGTTTTGGTTGCATTAAGGAATCTTAAGACAAGGAGGGGACATAGACAAAACATGCCAGGAGAAAATTCCACAGTGCACACCATTACCTTTTATTCTTCTCGCTTTCTTCCTTTGTTCTGTTCTTGAAACTTTCCTTTCCCTTATCTATGAAGAAGCACCACAAAAATTAGCATCATCCCCACTGTTCTGTTTTTCTCTTGTAGCTACAAAAATCTAAGCCTTAACTCCTAGTGGGGACCGACCCCATTTCCATCCTTCATGTCTCTAGTACCTCTGTTTCCATCTGTCTTTTGATCATACATTGCCTATGTTAAAAATCTTCCCTGGTGAAAACTATGGTATCAAATTGTGAGACAAGAACCAAAGGTACTGTCAATTTTGACACTTGTATGTTACGGTTCTGTCATTGGTATAGTCAACAGTAGGCTATATAACTTCCTACAATTGACACTATCAACCAAAACATCCACAATTCAGCATAAAGATTCTTGGGCAATTAGCCCTAATTCCGTTAGTGATTTATGTTGCTTGTTGGTTGGATTGAAGATTCTAGACGAGATACATCTAGATTTTGAGGTAGAATGAGCAGTTGAAAAGAACAACTATCTTGTTTCCCAATAGAGGAAGCAAAGCTTGTGCGGAGACAAGTTTGATGAAGGGACCAAAGAAACTTGTGTACCACTACATGTTGTATACTAATTGTTGGCCAGATGTCGTAATAAAAAATGATAGTTTCATTGTCATATAATAGTATAAGTTTATAATATAATGTATTATTATATGATTAATTTATTTTATTTAAAATTTACTCATAATATTATATGTATTTATTTATTTTATAATACAATATAATTATAAGTTTATAATTTTATATAATATTATAAATATTACATTGTCATGTTGTAATTGGCAATCTATAAAATATCATTGCAATTCTCTACCAGAATTGGTGCCAAACCTTAGCTTTAGACCAGAAAACCCTTATCCTAATCTTGTCATGCAAAAAAAGAAAAAAGGTCAATTTTCTCATATTTTTAAAATGGCAAAAAGAAAAAGAGAGAGAGAGATAATTTAAATATCCCAAAAATTTTTCTTTTCTTCTATAAATCATCATTTTCTTTTATACGTCTTCTATAAATCATCATAATAAAGAACATCCCATTTTTTTGGTATTTCCACTGAGAAGTCATTCCTCAACCATTCTATTGGATCCATTTCCTTTCATTTTTAATAAAAATTTTTTAGGAAAGAAAACACAAAATCAATTGGACTCCATAAACAATTAGATTGGAAAAAAGATGAATGAATTAAACAATTATTGTCCTTATGTGTCACCTCCATGCTTCTCATTCTTATTCCTTATATCACTTTCTTGAAACGAACTGAACAGCAAACAAAAAAAAGAATAAAATTGCCTGGACCTCACTTTTGTATTGCAAGAGATGCAAAATTTGTCTTGTGAAAAAACCCAACATACTAACATGCATGAAAAGACATATTGCTTTGCTTTGTTCAATCTGTCCCTGATTATTGGTTCAATTTCCCATTTTTATGCAAAATTTTTCTACTGCAAATTTGATTCTCCTTTAACAAGAAGTTTTGTTTTTGCTTTACAAGATTCAGTGCATGATGAGACTTGGGCCTACGTGAAGAGAAAAATGGATGAAAAGTGGGCCCAATCAAGATGGTGCACACCCTGGACAGGCCCACCGCCCTGATTAGTGTTTTCAATACACTTACCAGTCCCTTTTGTTGCTTATCCAGAAGAAAACGATTTTTTTTTCCCCTTTCTCGTGGGCTGCGCTTTAAAATATTTATTTGAGGTGGAAAAGACAAAAATATTCTTAATAAATTTATTAATAATATTTTTATCTTTTCTAATTTTGAACTAATGTTTTCAAGTGGGGAATTGAAAAACACGTTTATGTATTATTACAAAAAAAAAAAAATTACTCCAGAATCAAAGTCATCATAAAAAATTTTGTATTTTCATTACTAAAAAAAAAATTGAATTTCCAATAGGCCAACTCTAAACCAGTCGAGCCCACTTGATTCATCCAGCCCAAAGCTTCAGGTAGGTAGTCTCCAATCTAAGCCCAAAGGTTAAAAATTAATTTAAATGTCAGAAGTGGGATTTGAACCCACGCCCTCTTTCGAGGACCAGAACTTGAGTCTGGCGCCTTAGACCACTCGGCCATCCTGACCTTATTGTCAATTTGTCCCCCAATCGCTATTAACGTTCTTCCATAAATCTTCACGTATCTTTTGCGCGCTTTCTCGAAATCTCTCCTCCTAGGGTTTGAAAAACAACCATCTTCTCTCTGGAAAGCTCTGAGGAAGACGAATTTTCGAAACAGGTGAACAAATATTACTGGTATGTGCCTGTACCAATTGAATACCATGGATTATTGACGGAACTAGTCTTTGTTTTTAGTAATTCCAGTTGAATCGGACTCTAATCGTTGTTAACAACAATGAATCCCCTTCATTTTCAATCTGCGCCGCCTCCTCTCTGGTTCCCGATGTTACCACCGGAACCACCGAATTCAAGTGGGTTTTGGGAAACCAGAAACGTGCGTGATCGGCTTAGAGAGTTGCAAGATACTCTCAATCTCGCTAAGGCAATGTAGGTGTAGTTTTTTGTTTCAATTGAAGTGGAATCATGATTTATTTATTTATTTATTTATTTATTTTTAATTCTGAAAACCGAGTAACTTGAATCAAATATTATTGTCCTATAGGCAAAAGGAGCTGGAGATATTGAAGACGATCAAAGATGGTAAAGGGTCTACAGAAGATGATGCAAAGGAATTGTCGACCGATTCTTCTGTTTCTGGGGTTTTGAAATATCTAGAACGGAGAGGGAATAATTTGGAAACGCAGGAGTCACTTTCTGTGGAAGCAGCAAATTCTTTGATGGCAAAGCTGAGAGCTCAGCTGGAGCCGTTTAGGTATGTCACAGATCAGGCTAGTCCATGGGAGGAGAAATCTGCAACAGTTAGGTTGGCCAATAAAATGAGCAAGTCAAAAAGGAACAAACTTTGGAGGAAAAGAAAGCGAAGACGCGTTGCTGAAATGATTGCAAAGGTTGTTTTACTGGGTTTGCTTTTACTATGGCTTTTATGTTTCTTAGTGTCAACCTTGGTTGGAATCCCTACTTTTTTTGTTTGATATGTTTGTTGTGAATTTTAGGAGCGTGATCGGTTTGATCAAGCTCATAGGGAAGCTGATGAATGGAGGGCTAGAGAGATTGCCAAAGATATAGCAAACCATAAGGTTCTGAAATTGTTGAATATTTCTGTGGTTTCTGAAAATGATTTGTTTTTGTTGATGTTTTCACTGGACGTCCAGTTTCTGATTGGCATTGCAGTTGTTCTGATATTGCCATGTTGTGTTTGTTGATAATATTTACCAAGATTTTTATGAGTTCAGTTCAGATATTATTCTAGGTTGATCTTATACCTGAATTTGTGGCATTAAGATTCCATAGTTACTGTTTTCCACTTAGAATGTCTGGGACATGTGTGTTTGCAGGTAGAAAAGATGAAGGAAATTGCTAAGCTGAAAGCCAGAGAAGAGAAGAAGAGACTGGAATCTGAGGTAAGACTTAGTTAAACATTATAGCCATCTCTAAGGAAATTGTAACTTAGAACCTTGTGTTAATTTTATGGCTGATTTGATCATAATGTTTTCTCTTTTATTTTTGTTTGGTGGTACCCTGGCTTATTTTGAACTGCTTTGATAGCAAGCATTCTCAATCATTCTGCTATTTGCTTGTGGTCATCTAGATCAATGTTTTTCGGGTTTTTTTTCCCTTTTTATCTGTCAGAAATGATCAGTGTTTCTGCTATTTCTCATCTCATTCTTGTTAGTAGGATATTATGAGAAAGCTTGCTTTTGTTTGTTTCTCTCTGTCTATGCTCAAATGAATTTGACTGGACAAACATGCGCTGCAAATGTCTTTTAAGCTCTTTTCTTTGTAGCCCTGAATTCCTTTCTCCTCTGGAGCCAATTCTCACATAATATCATTTGTGTCAGCTTGAGCTAGTTTTGATTGTGGAGAAACTGCAAGAATTGCGCTCCATCAGGATCCAGAAATTGAAGAAACAAGGTATGCTCGACAAAAATCACTTGCTCTTCATTATATGCCTGTCAACTGCTGCCATTTGTGATTGGGTTTATTAATTCTGTATTCTACTATCCTGAACCAATTTCAGATTATAACTTTATCCTGGCTGTAGTTGTAATATTGACTTTAATGTCAAAATCCAACACCTCATATGAAGATTTGTCACTAATGATATGTCCTTTTTCTGCCATATTTTATATTAAATTATGGATAGATATTCATTTTACAATTACAAAAGGTGTTGTTATATTTGTTTTAAGAGAAGGATTAAGTATAAGATCCCAAACCATTATCTTTTCCGTTAGTCAATGTATTGAGTTTGTTGTTGCTTGCCATTTTTTTTTTTCCAGAAATTTTTATTAGTGTTGGTAGTATCAGTTACTATGTCCTTAACTTATAGTTGTTTTTTTTTTATCAGCACCTTAACTTATAGTTGTTGATGCTTCCAATTTATACACACAGGACATTTTCTCCCAGAGGAGGATGACAAGTTTCTTGAGAGAGTTCAGGCTGCAGTTGAGGCAGAGGAGCGCCAAGCTTTGGCTGGAGTGGATACGGATGCTGCTAAGGATGCCATTGCAACCGCTGAAGAATCTAGAAAAACCATGAAGAATCAAGAACCACCCTTCTCAAAAGATCTGAGCAATGATAATGATGGGAATAAAGAGACTGAAGACCAAATAACTGGTACCAAGGATGAGGAGAGCTCCAGCCCCGTCAGGGGTAAGGATTCCAGCCAAAGAGCATCTGAAGGACAAAGTCACAGCGGGGCATACGATTCATTGGCAAACTTACCAATTGAATTCTATCACTACTATCATGGCAGCAATACTGACATGGGCACTCTTATTGAGGTAATTTTTCAGTTAGTTTCTCTATGATCTGTGCATGCCTTGTTGCATGACTATTTCTGGAAAATGTACATACAATTGCTAGTACCTGATTGCAATTGCGTATTTATGATTATGCCAAAAGTTCCATTCAGTGAGTCCTTAATGGCCTTGCATCTTTGGTAGCTGACAACTTGATACATTAAGTCGCAACTAATGTCCACAGTATTCAGTTGCATGTATCAAATTCTGTTTGATTTCTATGATTATTGAATCCTCTAATGCAGGTTAGAAGAACATGGGATGCCTATATCAGACCAGGAGGGAGGTGAGTCTATAAAACCAAAATGTATATAAATATTTTTTTTTTTCAACAGCAATATTTGTGCAACTTATTCACACACTTTTTGCATATATTTGGATGTAGCCGCATACCAGGGCACTGGGTTCAACCACCACCACCAGCAGACGAGGTCTGGGCCTCCTACTTAGTCAAGCCTAAATAATGTCTTCAGCCTTTGCTTAAAGCAGACATATACCAAGTCAGAAGTTTCTAATCACCTACACCGAGTCAGAAGTTTCTCATCACCTCAAAAGTAATTTCTTGGACTGCTAGCAAGTAGCAATAAGTTAGGGGGACAGTTTATATGTTCTTACGGTTTTCATTTTTTTTTTTTTCCAATAGGTTCTGATTTTCTGAAATTGTAATATTTATGTCCATTATTTTCCCCTGTAAAATAAAATTAGTTTATATTTTGCATTGGTAACTTTGTTTTACAGATTGTAAATCAAGATCATTAGATGAGGGTCTAAATACCATTAGATGAGGGTCTTGGCATCAAGTATTCATCCAATATGGTACAATTTAGTACAGTGTAAATTATTGTACCTTTTTTCGTTTTGCATTTTGCAATTGAGTTATTTTTTGCGTTAACAAGTCCTTTTATTTAGTTTAGAATGACAATCTTCAAATTCATGTTCATCCAGCAAGCTCTTCATCAATGTAGGAATGGCAGGTGAATCGAATGGAACATCAAAACATAAGAGATTAAAAAAGTATTTTTTTTATTTTAATTGAATTTAGCCGAGGGTTCCAGACGCTCCAAAAATTAATGAGTAATGGGCATCCTACGATTCGGCGAATACATCTGCGAAGGCTAATTTTATTTTGTTAGAGAGGCCTCAATTTAGAGTTTCTCGCCCCTCTGCTGGGACCTTCGCTAAACAAAATACCAGAATTTAAGAAAGTGTTCGAAAGTCAGATCCACTAAATAACCTGAACCGAAACCGAAATTCGATTCAGGCAATGATCCGTTTCCAATATCGATTTCCGAAGGCAAACTTGGATTGAAGTGCACTGCTTCATTTTGCACTCCATCCATAGGTCCTTCAGTTTTCATAGTAAAACAACACAAAAAAAAAAAGGAAAAAAGAAACGAAGATGCTCAGTGAATACGAACCAGAAAGATCTTGCATTCATCTTGAGTAATAGCTACAAAGCCAATTCACAATCCTTTTCTTCTTCATCGTCATCGCATCCGCGTTTTGAAAAACAGAAAACAAAACAGACAGAAATTAGGGTTGAGAAATGACGGAGAAGAGAAGACGCAGATTTCACTAACTCTTCACCCTGTCTAACCGTGTTTGTAATATATAGGCCGCGAAGGCAAGCAGTTGACCCTAATGTATGTTTCTGGACAGTTAGAAGCCCACTTATTCTATTTTTGGGCTGCAACAATTGGGCCTTTTTTTTCTGTAATTTTCAATTTTTTTTTTCTCAGAACAGAGAAGGCGAAGGGAGCGAAACATCGCCCAAGGTGTGCTGTAACGGGCCGAGGAAGACAAACGCACGACGAGTTTGAAGTTGTCGTTGTTGATAATAATCCGCGAAATCTCAATAACCCTCTCTTAAAACCAAAAAATTAACATCACACTTTCCCCAGATCTACCATCCAAACGAAATCCTCGATTCAATCTTCTCTTCGACGCTTCCTGTTAATCTTTTGCTTCAACTGTTATCAAAGGGGGTCTGGCTTCCTACAAGAGGTGTGTATGTACGGTTTGATTCTTAGAGCTTGGAAGGATGTGGAGTTCCATTGCTAATTTGAAAGAGAATCTGAACAAGATCGCGCTCGATGTTCACCACGACGACGAGGACGAGGACGAGGAGGAGCTCGAGATCTATGGTTCCGCCAATGGACATGATTCGTCGGTCTCTGATCGGAGGAATTCCCACCGCTTTGCGCATTCCAAATCCGCTTCTCCTTCTCCGGTTGCAAACGGCATCGATTCTGCTCTTGATTCCGAGGTATTTAGTTTTGCCTCCCTCAATTTTGACTCTAGAGGATTAGATTCTTCTATTTTACTGCAATTTATTCTTTCGGCCAGAGTTTTAGTTTTGTGGATGCTACTACTGCAGTACTTTGGTGTTTTTGATGATATTCTCGCCAATACATGTGCTTACTGAATTGAATTTCCTGATAATTATTTTCTTCTTCTTCTTCTTATTATTTTTTTGGCATGTTTGCTTGTCATAGATTCAAAGATACAAATCTGACATTAAGAGGCTTCAGGAGTCAGAAGCAGAAATTAAAGCATTATCAGTTAACTATGCAGCTTTGTTAAAAGAGAAAGAGGTATCTCAATACCAATTTTTTTTCTTATATGTGCATTATGCATATGCTCCTTAGCTAGGCCAACTATCATGTTTCCAAAATTTATACGAATGATTCATTTGAAGTTTTGTATCCTACATTTCCTGCTCTTATTTGCTAAGAAGTGATCCGTAATAAATCTTCTCTGAGATAAGTTTTCTGTATGGTTTTCTCGTGGTTTTTTCCTATGTGGTGAGGCATCTCAATGGATTTCGTCCCCTTCGTTCTTACCTTCTTACCTAAGATGCTATTTGGCAGGGTCAAATTCACAGGCTGAGCCAAGAAAATGGCTCACTGAAACAAAATTTATCTGCAACAAATGCAGCTCTGAGTGCAGCTAGAAGTGACACTTCCAGAGCATTAACTAACAGCAATTCATTCAAGGTAGGTTGTAAAATCTTGAGTAAACTTTCTCCAGCGGGAAATTGTTAAATTTGTGCAATTTGAAGTTTCATCTGTGATAATAACTATTCTGATATTTTTTCTGCTGTCATCCAGCACAACATTACACTTTTGAAAAATTGAGTTGCTTTTATTGCTACACTGTATGATTTTATCTTGGCATAAATGGTCATTGGTATATGATACAACTATTATACGATGTTACCTCACCCTTACTTTGTTATTTATTATTGTTCGGGCCCTAGTTAGGGTCTTGTTTGGCTGTAGGAATGGGAAACAATCTTGGTAGTTGCTCTTGTCAGGACAATTGAGATTACTTTTTCTTCTATGTTACTTTCAATTTTGGAATGTGCACTCTTTGCACTTAAACCCTGTTTTATTTGTATATTGTTATGTATTTAGTTTTTCTACAGTTTATGTTGTTGTGGATGATTTGGACTTTGAATATGATATGGCTGCCTCCAAATAGGAAAATCTTGCTACTTAATTTTTTCTTACCGGCATTTACACCTGTGTATTTTTTGGCAGAAAAAAAATTTATGGTAATGTATTGGATATCAGTTTATTGGATTTGATTTTTGTACTCTGTGCAGGGAAGTGGTGATCAATCACCAAACAGACATTTCAAATCTAGTCCTCAAACCAAAAACCGTCATGCTGGAAACCAAATGAGCAATGGTATTCTCTCTAGACACGATAGTATAGGCAATGGAATTGCATATACTGTACCGGCTGAAGTGATGGAACCTAGAAATTCACATTTTCGTGGGAAAGAAAAGGTAATGTCTCTGTGCTTTATGTTCCATTTTTAATGAGATAATAACTTTTAAGTGGGTTACCTCTGGTTAACACCTTTACTTGGCTTCTCTTTTTCCCTCATATTTTCTTTGGATTAATACACCTTTTTGAGATTTCCTCTCTATGTTTCTTGCAATCTAAATATTTTGTCCTCCTGTGTTTTTAATTATTTGATGAATGCCTCTAGGAACTTGCAGATTTGCTAGAAGAGAAAAATCGGTCACTGGAAGCAGTTAAAGCTACCCATCAATCTCAATTGAAGCAAATCAGGATGGAACTTGAAAAGGAGCGTGACAAATTTTCAATTTTACAGCTAAAATTAGAAGGTATATCTTCATGCTATCCAGTTGTAGCATTTTATGTTTTATCCTGAACCAGTTGCCAAACAAAAGAACTTATCTGATTTCTTTTTCTTGTAATTGTCAGAGGAACATATACTCAATGAAACTTTGCAAGAAGAGTTGCAGTTATTGAAATCTGACAAGGAAAAAGTGAGTTCCTTCCTTTTCTTCTTGTGTGGTTTTTCTTCTTGTGTGGTTTTTCTTCCTTTTCTTGTTTTATTCTAATAGGAAGTGGACTTCTTAATTGGTTGGAGTTAACTGGCATTATGATGTCTCAGTTGGGAGTTGCATGGGTTTTTAGTAGCTTTATACCATTAGCAAATTTCTTCTACTTTTCCTCTTTGCTAAAATATCTCCATATTGTATGGCACTGGATAAGAACAAGAAATCATATAGTTTGTCTCCATTCTCGATTCTTTCTTTCTTCTGACTTCAACCTTGAAGGCCTACCATTCTACAACACTGATATCTATTAGGAAGAGCATTTTCCTTCAAGCTTGGAGACTTATTCACCATAATACTGCTTCTGTTTATTTTCCCCACAGTTTTTGTATTTTGATTGTTCATTGAAATTGGTGTCTTTTGGTATTTTTATGTGCCATTTTTGCATTTCTATTAAGTTTAGATGTATATGAATAAACCCAGTTATACATGATTTCTCCACATGGGTTTGAGGGGGAAGTACTTCATCTTGCTTTATATTAAGTTGGTAGTGTGATTGGTGATTGAGTCTCAAACCACACTTCCCAAAAGAATTGTGCATAATAGCTATTTGTCTTTCTAATTTTTCTTTGTTTCTAGCATTTTCAGTTCTTTGTTTTCAAGTTCTATTGTCTCACATGATTTTCTCTGATGTACTTGGCCAGAGCTCCATGGAGATGAGAAAAATTCACGATGAATTGAACAATAAAATATTAGAAATAAGACGATTGCAAGCAGAACTTTGTAGACAGGAGAATGAAGATGCAGATGAATCAGTGGAAAAATTGAAAACATTTATTTCAACACTGGAGAAGGAAAACAATAATCTAAAGGTTTATTCTTCTTTGCGCTATTACATTTATTACCACCTGGGAAGTCTAAAATTTAGATGCTCCTTGATACTGGGGTCCTCAATTTGCTTCCATTTTATTGTCTCATAGATGGAGAAGAGAGAACTTCTGGCTGCACTAGAAACAAGCAGGAAAGCTTCAACTAGCAACGTCTCTTCAGATGCTTCAGAATCTATGGTTAGTATAATGTCGCTTGAATGTGATATTTTCAACGTAGTATCTCTGTGCTGTTTGGGTGCTTATCTCTCTCCTAACAGTTCTTAATTATGTGTTTTGGTTTAGAAGGTAGATTCCTCAGGAAACTTTCCCGGAAAGCAAGAAATGGAGCTAACAATGGAGCAATTAAGAAAAGATCTGAAAGAAACATGTCGTGAAAGGGATAAAGCTTTTCAAGAACTTACCCGTCTTAAGCAACATTTGCTAGAAAAGGTTGTCCATTTCCCCATGCTATTACCATTTTACCCTGATGTCATATCATACTGTGTTTCTGAAATTTTGGGATTGTGGTACATCTTCAAGTTTCACTTGTGATGGCTTCTATTAATTGATTTTTCATCTCTCTAGAGTACTTAACTGTGGTAAACATCAACATAAGGGAAAGAAAAGAAATGTGCTATAGTCACCCAACTCAGCCCTAATTCAGCTATTTGCTGTTTCGAAGATGTAGCATACTGTTGCTTAACGAAGACTTTATCATTACATGCAATAATTATCATTTGTTAGCCTCTATACAGAACTACATTGAGAAACATTTTTCCATCTTGTTCCATACTGAATTTGACTTTGTAAAAATAAAAAAAAATAAAAAAAAAAAAGGAAAGGAAGAAAGAAAGGAAGAAAGAAAAAAGATTGTTTTGATTTTGATATTTCATTCCGTAGTGTCTTCTAATGAACTTTTAGATGAATTCCTGTCCTGTACAAGCCAGCTTCAGTATAAGTTTGGTCATTTAAATTCTGAATCCTGCTTACTGTATGCTTTATGCAAATGCAAATTTTCACACGTTCTACAGTCAAAATTGAAGATGGTTTCTATTGCTACAATATTTGCTAGGAATCTGAAGAATCAGAAAAAATGGATGAAGACAACAAAATTATTGAGGAACTTCGTGAGAGTACTGAATATCAAAGAGCTCAAATAGCACATTTGGAGAAAGCTCTGAAGCAGGCAATTACTAGCCAGGAGGAACTTAAGATGATGAACAACAATGAAATTCAGAAATCTAAGGAAATTATTGATGATCTGAATAAAAAACTTGCAAATTGTATGAGAACCATAGATGTGAAGAATGTTGAACTTCTAAATCTCCAAACTGCCCTTGGCCAGTACTATGCTGAAATGGAAGCAAAGGTGAGCAGATATTTGTCGTTCCTTCTGTTTGTAGCGATTGAGAAATGATGCAGTATTCAAATCGTAATTTTGTTTACATCTTATGTTATTCTACTTGCAGGAACATTTGGAGAGAGATTTGGCTCTAGCAAGAGAAGAATCAGCTAAGCTTTCTGGTCTTTTGAGAGTATGGTCCCTTCCTACTTTCCATTGTCGAGCATATAAGCACTTAACTGGATCTTTCATAATTGTGAAACTTTGTCTTTGGAGATCTCCATGAGCATCTTAGGTTGAGAAAAAATGTGTGGGGTGCCAGTTATGTGAGTGTGTGAAGTAGAAATAAATGCATAGTGTTTTAATAACTTATGCATTATGACAATATTTGACGAAAATATGAGAAGTCATTATGACAATATTTGATGAAAATATGAGAAGTCATTTGAAATTGTCTGTCTGCAGTCATATACTGCATTTCAAATTCATGGATTTGAGTTTGACATTCTGGGTTGAATTTAAATTGTAATCCTAATATTTACATGATTCTAAAATGAAGCTTTGAGTTTGTAGGTCAAGATTTTTAACTAAAAA